TATATATATATATATGTATATAGTTACATTATCTTTACTCACGTAGCATTATATCCACATTACTCTTCATGATTCATTCTTCTTAAATCTCTATAAATATTTAGTGAAAGCACCAATAATCAACACTACAACATTGTTGCAGTATATTGATATATAATATATTGACTCTGCGTCGCACAGCCCATAAATAAACATGAATCAAAGGAACAGAGTTGTGTTTAATGAGCCTAAATAACATCCCATAATATTGTGCTAAATCTATGTTACACTCCTAAATATGACGCGTCCTAACTTTCACAAGATTAATACTGATTGTTTATATTCTAACGTGTGTTTTTACAGTTTAAATACTCATTATTTAGAATATTCCACATGGTGAGTGTGTGTCGCTGCCCATCAGCGTCGTATCTGTGTTCTGTTGTAGAATAAGACCTTTCTGAAGACAGATCTCTGACGGTTGAATGCACTCAAAGTGTTAGAAGAGGTAAAACTTGATTATGTGTCTCCTCTCAGATCGCCCTGCTCGTGGCCTTCCTCTGCGTCCACTGTGCTCGCGGTTGGCCCAGCTGGGCGGCGTTCCAATACTTCGAGGTGGTGACGCTGTGGTTCCTCATCGCCTTCCTCATCTTCTTCCTCATGCACCTGTTCAGGCTGCAGGCGAAGATGCCGTGCATCAACTGGCCGCTGACGGTGAGCAGGAGTAAACATATTAAAGCTCTTTATGAAACCATCTGCATGTTGATCTCCTTTACAATCTGACTTCTGTACCGGAACAGGACTCAAGTACCTTTAGGGATAAATAAAGAAGGAAGGAAGTATCACTTCCTGTTATTGTTCATTTAAATCTGAGGATATATCGACTCACATTGTGACTGTATGTGGGAGGGATTCAAATGATTCACTCTGCCTCTGATTGGATGTACCCTTCCAGGCGTTGCTAACCGTTAGCTTAGCTATGATGCTAACCGGCGCTATGAACTAGACCGGCCCGGGAGCAGAGTTTTCGTTCCCGTAGTCCGGGAATGGCCTTTTATGCCTTTAAACACATTTATGTCTAAACACTCCTTTTGATTTTAAAGATAAATATTGTATTATTATTATATATCCGAGTCTTTCATTAAACCCTCGTCTGCTGTTTCAGGAGTTCTTTCATTACTCCGTTGGGACCGTCCTCATCGTCATCGCCTCCATCGTCGCTGCTGTGAAGAGCGGAGGAGTTTCAGCGCTGGTGGCCGGATCGGTACGTTAAAGAGACTCACGACGAGGAAAAGCTGCATTCTCTCTAGTGTCCACCAGGGGGCGACTCCTCTGGTTGTATAAATATGTCCAAATATGGTCACCTCTCTTCATTTGTTACAAACAAAACAACAACATGGCGACGAAGAAGAGTGAAGTCACGACGACTACGTCCACTTCTTATAAACAATCTGTTTATAAGAAGACTTTTCTCACACAAAAGTAACTTTATTTAAGTGTCCTTCCTTCCTTTCTCCCTTCCTTCTAATTTTCCCTCCTTTCCTTCCTTCCCCCATCCTTCCTTCCTTACCTCCATCCTTTGTTCTTTACTTCCCTCCTCCCTTTCTTCCTTCCATCCTTCCTTTCTCCCTTCCAATTTTCCTTCCATCCTTCTATCCTTCTATCTCCTTTCCCTCCCTCCTTCTTTCCTTCCTTCTCTCCATCCTGCATTCATTCCTTCCTTCCCTCCTTCCCTTGCCCCTCCCTTCCTTCCCTTTCTCCATCGTCCATTCCTCCTTTCCCTCCCTCCTTCCTCCATTCATTCCTTCCTTCCCTCCTTAACTCTTCCCTCCTTCCCTTGCCCCTCCCTTCCTTCCCCCAGTCTAAAGTAGACAGTGATGTTCATGCTAACATGCTAACCTGTTGTGTGTCTGTCTGCAGGTGTTTGGCTTCATAGCGACGTTCCTGATGGCCGTTAGTTTGTGGACGTCTTACAGTGTGACCTGCGGCTCCCATCAGACCGGTATGTCTGGTTTTATTAATATATATTTTATAGTTAATGTGTTGAATGCTGTCAATGCTAAAGCTAATCAGCCGTTAAAAGAGACGGAGACGAACGAGTGAAAAGCAGAAAATCTGATTATCTGTGTTTCATAACAGGAAGTGATCATCAGACATGTGATTCACATGATGGAGATTATTTCTACTGCAGTGAAGAGAAGGACACTTTAGTGTCTCCTTCTCTTTTCAATCATTCCTTCATCACTTTTTCCTCTGTGATGTTTTTCCTCCTTCCATTCCTCCTTATCTCCTTATCTCCTGCACCCTTCAACCCTTGCACCCTTCAACCCAATCTTTTCTTCCTCTATCCCTCCTTCCTTTCTATTTTCTTTCCATCCTTCCTTCTTACCTTCTACCCATCCCTCCTTCCCTTCTTTCCCTCTCCCTTCCCTTCTCTTTTTTCCTGCCATTCTTCCCTCCATCCGTCTTTCCTTCGCTCCATCCTCCTTACATATTTCTATTCTTTCTCCCTCCGTCCTTTCGGTCATCCTTCCTTTCTCCCTTCCTTCCTTCCCTTCCATCCTTACTACCTCCCTTCCATTCTTCCCTTCACCCTTCCTTATCACCATCCTTCCTTTATTCTTTCCTTCCCTCCATCCTTCTGTCCTTCCTCCCTCTCCTCCATTCTTCCCTCCCTCCATCCTTCATTTGTTTCTCCCTTCCTTTTCTCCATCCTCCATTCCTTCCTTCCCTCCTTAACTCCTCCTTCTCTTCCATCCTTCCCTTGCCCCTTCCTTCCTTCCTTCCTCCCCTCCATCCATCCATTCTTCATTTCTCCTTTCCTCCTTCCATCCTTCATTCCCTCCTCCCTCTCTTCCATCCATCCCTCATCCCTTCCTTTCTTCCTTCTCTCCATCCTCTCATCCTTCCTTCCCTCCTTCCTTCCCTCGATCCTCCCTTCCCTCCATACTTCCTCCCTTCCCTCCTCCCTCCATACTTCCTCCCTTCCCTCCTTCCCTCCATACTTCCTCCCTTCCCTCCTCCCTTCCCTCCTTCCCTCCATACTTCCTCCCTTCCCTCCAGGTGCAGCAGTGTAAGAAGTGATCCTTCGTGAAGGAGCCAGTTGTGCTGTGACGGCAGTTTGCTGTGTCCTGGTTTCTGCCTAGCAACCACCTGGATAATCAACCTGATTGGATTATAACTCACTCTACAGAGGTAATGGAACAGCTGATCCAGGACCAGCTGTTGCTTTACAGTAAACATTTACTTTCCCTCTCAGACTTCTAAAGTCCCATTTAAACCATCAATGTATCAACAGATGATGTTTTTAATTTTCCTGCTTATCAAGTATTTAGAGAAGCTTTTTTAGACAAGTTGAAGCAGCGTGAGCTCTAAAAGAACAACGCCCTGTTCCTGTTGTGTGCCATAAAAAAACAAAAAAAAATCAAGAAGATTTTCCCGCCAAAATCAGCCGCAGTCGCGAGTCGCCTCTTCTTCGCTGGTTTACAGTTACTAGCTTGATTTGCTCGATTCCTGATCAAATATTTCATCCATTCCAACTTTTTTTATTCTACTTTTTAAATTCAGAAAGCTAAAAGCAGTCTGGACCACGGACACTTTAATCTCTTTTTTAATAAAATCCCTTTTCTTAAATGCCCACCAATGACAAGATGCACAGTAAAGCCCTGTTAGCCTGCTATGCTAAATTCTGCTAGCGCACAAAAAATATTCTTGTCATTATTCTAGTGTGCTAACAAACATTACCAAGCTAATGTTTTTACAGGAGATAGCTTGCATGCTAATGACATAACTCAGGGGCTAATGTGTGCTAAACAAATATAAAACCAGTAGCATGCTAACGGATTCTGTGAATTGAAACAAAAGTCAACATTAGCATGCTAACAATGCAAACAAACACAAAAATCAAGGAAAAATGCAACATTTGTCTGTAATTAAAAGATAAGTGTGGTCGTACTATATATTTGTCCTATTTGTCAACAAATGTGCAGAACCAAGCCAACAATTAATTAATCTGCTAACAGGTTTATACCAAAATACCCACTAAATAGAGCACTAAATATGGATTAATCCGCTGCTGAAAATAGTCCCCAATAAAAAATGTGCTATTTCTTCCTGTTTGTCTGATTTGAAAACTCCAGCTGTTTTAGGAAATAACTGATGGAACTATTTGTGTTTGTAAAGATTTACATCTTCAGTAGGAACCAATGGGCTTTGAGCTGAGACAGGAAGTCAAGACAGTAGTGAGGATTTTAATCTGTACATGAGATTTGTTGACAATAAAAATATATAAAAAATGAATAACACCAACAATATCCTTCAAACTGTAATTCCACGACGGGACATTCACGACTGTCCTTGGTGCTTTATAAAATAAAAAAACAACAAAAAACTGTTAAATGTTGAATTTAAATTCAATCTGAATTTTCAGAAAGCACATCAGTAGAGTCCGCTTTAAACTAGTAACGTAGTTATGATATATATGGAGCCTGTCGGGGGTCAAATGGTAAAAACAAAATACCGGAAATCTGTTTGCACGGATTAATACATTTAACGCTCATTTAACGGATTGATAAAAGTTTAACCCAGTTTAATAAAACATACATGTGGATTAAAAATGTACACACAGATCAATAAAACATTGTGCAGATTAATTATAAACAACATAAATAAAGATACGATTAAGACATGCCTAGGGATTAATAAGACCTAAGCATGAGTTAATAACACACACGTACTGATCAACAAAACCAACACAGCGATTAGTAAATGTACAAATGGATTAATAAATCGTGAAAAATCATAAAATATGCGTGTGGAACAATTATGGATGAATTTAAACATATATGTGAATCATTTAATTGTATATAGGCCTACAGATCAATAAGAAATCTGCACAGATAATATAAAAAATACTGAAGTATGCGTCTGGCATTCAGATTAAATGGCAAAACTATAATTGATTTGAAAAAAGCTTTATTTAATTGTCATACCAGTTGAATGAAAGCACAATAACTAATAACTGGCATCAGAAAAATAGTGAAAAACTTTAAATATCCAGCGTAGAAAATAATTAAGAGTCACTTTGACTGTTAAAGCACAAAATATCTCACTTTATCCTCACACGTTGATGTGTTTTTCCCATTTGCCTGACTTTGATTTATCAATCTGTGCTCTTTATTTAGTGAGCGTTAACACTTTGTTCATCTATGTGCACAGATTTCCACATATGGTCCTCCAGCTCCGTAGATTTCTGACCAATCAGAGTATCTGAGCACAAATAGAACACAAGTGGTTCAAAGTAGTGGATTAAAACAGTTAGTTTGCTAATGTTGGTTAGCTCATTAGCAGCGTGATGAATGAGTTAAATCCATTCCTGCTAATTTAAGTTCTGTTGTAGCATGTAGCTAGCAAAGCTAATGCTAGCATAACTCGGCCTCTATTGTTGATAATAATATATCGTTTTCCCAAGTTTAGCTAACTAATTTAACTAGTTGACTTCAAATTAACAGGGAAGTTTCATTGATTGAAGATCGATAGTAAGGACTGATAAGGTCTTAACAAAGACAGAAGTTAATATGCTAACCTAGCAACAACTTTGAAACACTGAAATATGTGTTTTAAAATGATTTTGCTCATTTTAACTCTGTGCTAGCATTAGCTAACAAGCTAATTCTAGTCTAACATTGTTGATAATATCAACGCCGGCTTGTCACGATAACTATTTTTACTTAATTTTCTTTTAAACGGAATTACTATTAAGTCAGCAGCTACTCATTTTAACATGCATCTAGTTCAGGACGTTAGCTGACCCGTAAACATATTTAAATATTAATTAGACTTCTTTCATGCTCTTAAAGTTCACCGGTTAAAAGGAAAAGTTGTGGTTTAGCTCAACCAATCAAATTATTTCTGCAGCTGCAGTGGTTCTACCTCTCGAGTAATGTTTGTAGAATTAAAAAAATCATGTTAAAATTAAATCGAGCGCGGCCTGTGATCGAGTGGGGAAACTTTCCTGCCATTTCTTCAAAAAAAACAACCTCTGGATGATGTGAAGCTGAACTCTGCTTTCACGTCAGAGACGTTCAACCCTCAGATTACTGCCTTACTGTTCATCAGATGCCAAAAAATATCTTAAGTGCGATGCTTTCGGATTTTTACACTGAATGTGTTACGTTTCCTCTGAAGCAGCTCCGAGTGAAGAATTGAAGGATTCTCGTCAAATCTGATTACAATCGAATGTTTCACTCTGACTATAAACCGTGTGGAAGTTTCGGCTTACGGGACAAAAATTACAACGCGTTTAAATACAGATTATTGTCTTTCTTCTGGTGCGTCTCTTATAGCTCTACACACTGTGTGATAACGGCGATCTATCAGTTTCACACTGTGAGCTACGTGGAATAAAATCTAAGTTGTAGCATGTCAGATGAAAGTAGAACAAAAAAAATGCTAAAACATATTAAGTAATTTAAATAAATTATCGAAACCCTAAACTACGCTGTAGAAGTCATGCTGTTTATTAGGGTTGTCTCTGCTGCCAGTGATAAGCTTAAGTTACTGTAACTCAATCGCATTTCACAACGTTTATATTTTACGTTAGCAGAAAGACTTTCTTTTTTCTATTTTTTGAAAAGTTTTCCATCAATGGTGCTTAATCCAAAAATGTTTCCATGCATTATTTTTAAGATAGTTTGATTCAACAGAAATACGTGAAATGATCACGGCCTCTTAACAGCGCATTAAATGGTGATAGCATGTACGTGTTAAAACTAGAGGAACAATTTATCGGCAACAAAATTACGTTTTTAGGGTTAAGCCAACAAAACTACTTGGTTAGGGTTAGGAAAGAAAATCTCATGGTTTTGGGTTAAAATAATTACATTTGTACATTTGTAGCCCACTAAATTAAAAATAACTCAACGTTGACTGTTGGTTTTTACGCGGGACACAAACACCGGTCTCCTGGGTGAAAGTTCCGTGTTTTGACCCGTTCGTCTACCCTGACCAAATAATTGTGTCGACCACGACAAAAGGATCCAAATTGACTTCCCATTGGTTTTGTTTCCACGGTGCTGGCACAGAATTTACTACTTGTGCTTGGTGATGATTCAGTGTGATAATTTATCGTTTTACTATGGAATCGTACATCGAGATATCGCGATGCACAATCACCCGGATAATTGATTAATAATTGATAATAAGCACATTCTAACTCAATATTCACAGAAAGTCACTTGTGAATTATTTAATTCACACAGGATTAAACAAATAAATCCATGTGATCATTTCATAAAAAACATTTGTATATTGAACTAACAGAAAACATGCTACATCTTGAGTTGCATATAATATTACACCAGTAACACCTCCACTTGATACGGTGTTAAGAGGTTCCGCTCTTTTCACGTCTTTCTTTAAAATCAGGCTGGTGTGGTTACGTGATTGTCCGTTCGGCGTGGCTCGCTAGCTTACTATATTTAGCGTAATGAAGAGAAATATTGGAAACTTGCGCTACTAAATTAGAATGACTATGATTTGGAAACGGTCGGGTCTTGTTTACCAGGTGTGTGGACCCGTGAAAGCTCACAGCAGCAGTCCTAAATATCTCAAACCGGCGGCTAGCGTCGGTGGACGTGTCTCACAGTGTGATCCGAGAAACACCATTTTTGGATTAAAAGCCAAAGATGTCAACACGTCTTATCTTTGATTGTCAGCTTTTATCACACAGTGTATACGGCTCTTTCACATCTTATTATAGTCACAACTAATCAAAAACTGTTTTCCTACACAGTAAAGCATTGCTGCATTGTTTTTGTAACCTTGGTTTGTGGTGGTCCAAGGTGTTTCACATTATGCTGTTTGTATTTGCTGCTTCACTGTACTGTATTTAATTTTTTTGGTGTGGACCAGTTTGACATATGAAGGTTTTATTTCATTATAGATGCACTGATGATAAAAAGGTCTGCTGATAATTAAATGATCAAATCTAATGTAAATTTAATTTGGGAATTTGTTAAGTATTACTGGACAAAAATAATGTTTTAGCTTTAGTCAGCGTGCTTTGATTTGTTTTAAGATTCTATTGATGAACATTTGATATACCGAGTTTTTCCATCAATATCTGCCCAGCATCCAGTTTCAGTATCAAATTTGGGTCATTTTTATATTGGTGCATCCTTTATTGTTTGACCCTAAAGTTGGGTTTTATATTGCTGCCTGGACGGTTTTAGTGTGGAACCAAACAAACCAGACTGTTTACATTATATATTTTGCCGTGCATGTGTTTTCTTATTCTCACCGTTGCAAAGTGACCTGATGTACTAAGTGTACCTGTTTGTCCACTTGGTAGATACAGTAGGATGGTAACTGGTCTGTGGTTTGATGGCTAATACGTATTGATCCAGTACTGTCGTGAGACACATTATGATCAGTGAAGGACATGTCACGGAAATCTGCTCAGAGACTTTTCAGATAGATTAAAAGTAACAAAGAGAGACAAAGGTCACCTCCGTTAAAGTAACTTAAACCATGTTTAACTGAAGGCGACATTGGATTTCTGTCTTGAGTCCATCTGGTTGTTATTGACTTTATTAGAACAGACATTTTGATGTTTCAGGGTTAATATAACACACATTTAAACCTATAAAATGTTAACCTCAAGGTCCATTCAGTTGCTGTTCTGGACCTTTCGATTGGATCAAACAATCTTCCGATCTTTTCTGAAGACTGTGAGGACTTCTGGAACAGTTTGAATGGATAAAAGAATCTATCTGCTGCGAGAGATCCAGGTTTAAGTTCTAGACTGAACTTTGAAGCTCAACTTTGGGCGTAAAAATACAACAAAACAAACAAACCGAAAAAGGTCTCATTAAAGTCAATAAGAGCCATGTGGAACCAAGATTGATTTCATACACAGTAGTCTGTGTTGATTATAACCTTTTCTTAGTCAGAGAATATCATGTTTCTTTGTACTTTACACCCATCTAGCATCATTTTGAACACCTTAAAAATAACATTGTGTACCATTCGGTGAGTAAGCGATGGTGCAGATGATCAACAACCTCCCAGTGAGTTTGTATTTTCAACATTTTACCCACAACGGATTGTACAAACCTCAAAGTGATTGAAATGTCACGAGT